GGCTCTGGGAGCAGAGTGGGGTGCAGGGGGTTAGCTCTGAGGCAACAAGGATGGAGCGGGCAAGGGGCCTGGTGGGCAGCTAAGCCCCTTGGTCGGAACTCGTGCCGCATCCTCCTTCCCCACAGGCGCGGGCAGCACCAGCGCAGGGATAATTACGTATTTCCCACGCTGCTTCCAGGGCATGAACTGCCGCTTTACCGTGATTCCCAGAGCTCCGCGGGCTGGGACAGAGCGGGGGGGGCAGCCCCCTCCTCACCCGTGTAGTGACTGAGGCTGCTCAGTGCTGGAGCCCCCCAAGCCCTGGGGTGCCAGCAGCGCCCGCGGCACCGCGCCCAGCCCCGGAGGTCCCACTAACACTCAGACACGCGGCTCGGGGGAGGGGTATTTACTGGGGTGGGGGCAGATCCCCGCGGCCCAGAGGCAGCTGCAGTCCCAGCGGAGCGATAGCAGCTCCGGTTCGGGCCCCTGGGGCAGCCCAGTGGAGAGTCCGGGCCCGTCAGCCGCGTGCCGGGGCTCCCGCTCCAGCCCGGACTCCAGCCCAGCCAATCGGTGTCTGTGGGTTTCCGGGCCGGGTTCGGGGAGTGTCTCGCCCTGGGCCCCCAGCTCCGGGTCTCTGCCGCTCCCCAAGTCCCCCCACAGACCTGCCCCAGCTGGGACATCCGGCACTCGCAGCATGTTCCCCGCCCGGCTCTGGCACCGTTCCTGGGCTTCTCTCCAGCTGCCCCATGGGCGGCTCCCGGCCCCCAACCGGAGCCCAGTCCCCCCGGCTCAGCCCCCGCCCCGCGGCCGGCCAGCAGGAAGAGGACGGGCCGTGGGGAGGGGGCTGCTTGGCAGACCCAGCCCGTCCGATCCCCAGGGCTCCGCACGCCCGGCTGGGAGCCGGAACCGCACCGCTCGCAGGACGATCCAGCCCCCTGAGCTCTCCGGGAGCCGCACAGACCCAGCGAGCTGCGCGGGGAGTTTGTCCCCTGAGCTGGCGTGAGAGCCGCAGGGCCTGGGCAGCCGGAGCCTCTCGCGGCTGGGGAGCTGCTGTGTCTGGTGAGGAGCCATGCGCACGGTGTCAGGCACAGGGTCTCTGCGCTGGGCGACTCCTGGCAGTCAGGGGCTGTGGGTGGTGGGTCACCGGGCGCGTGGCCCGTCACAGAGGCAGGGTCCGACGCTGGCCAGCGGGGTCCTGGCAGGCAGGCAGGGCTGTGGGTTCATAGAGTCACAGATCTCAAGGCCAAAAGGGATCACTGCGATCATCGGGTCTGATCCCCTGCACAGCAGGGGCCGGAGACCTGCCCC